GGCTGCGTGCTATAACCAACGCTGTTTCTTCTGCATATCAATGATATGTTGCAAATGGCAACATTCATTGCTATGTGGATGACAGCACTGGTGATGCTCTGTACGATGGCGGCACTGAAAATTTCGGCAATCAAGGAAGTGACACAACATTACTATTTAAAAATGTATTTATTGCTTTTCGAAGTAATCTCCGCGAAATTTGACTCATTTTTCCATACGATGGAACCAATCATTGAAGCAACCATTCCATTCGGAAGTTGGGGTCTCCAAAATGGCCGTTTTGTAGGCGTCCACAGCTTCTTCAGGTGATGAAAATCTCTGTCCATGCAATTTATTCTTTATTTTAGGGAAAGTATAGAAATCATTAGGGCTTAGGTCGGGGCTGTACGGCGGATGGTCTAATAATTCTATGTTTTCTTACTCTAAAAACTCTTTTGTTCTGTGTGCGGTGTGAGAACTCGCATTGTCGTGATGGAGGATGATGCGGCGGTTGCAGTTCTCTTTACGGAGTTCAGAAACGACCTGTGGCAAACAAATGCTAGCATACCATTCTGCATTAACCGTTCTTTATCCCTCAAGAGGAATAGTCGTAACATGGCCGGTTTTGGAGACAAACGTGGCTACCATTTTTTTTTTGCAACACTCCGTGAACAAACAATTTTTGTTGGCTTTAACTCATTTTCGAACACCCAAACTCGTGACTGGTTTTTTGTTTCGGGTTCGTACGCATATATCCAGGATTCGTCACCTGATACGATGTTGTATACAGCATTTGAGGATCCTGCGTGGAATATTTCGAGAGTACTGACGCACCAAGTAACGCGAGCCGCTTTTTGCTAATCACAGAGCGAATGCGGTATCCATCGGGAAAACAACCTTTTTACACCTAATTGTTCATGTAAGATTATTTGTATTTGACCCATGCCAATGTCTAAAGTTGCCTGAATTTCGCGGTATGTCACATGTCGATCTTCCTCAATCAGCTTAGGCACAGCATCAACGTTTTCTTGGGTGACTGCAGTTTTTGGACGACCTTGACGGGGATCATCACTGAGCTTAACACGTCCACGTTGAAATTCATCAAACCAGCAATAAATTGTGGTTTTGGATGGGCCTTCATCGCCAAATGCAGAAATCATCCGGTCAACACACTGTTTTTGTGTTAAACCACTTCGAAAGTCATAATAAATCATCGCTCTTGATTTTTCTCGAGTCAATTCCATTTTCTCAACGACTAAACAAGTTTGACAAAACCTTGTGACAAGACAGAGAATCTTTTCTTAAATAAATAAATGGTATTCGATTTTTAAAACCAGATTGACAGGAACAGTGGAAATATTCCATTCCCGATACTTTTAGTGCAGCCTAGGTATCGTAATAATGTTAAGCGAAAATACCATAATTTTACCTAAAGGTCAACTTGTATTATTATTTGGTTCTTTTACTTTTTAATATTAACCCTACGATATCGAGAATTTCTCATTGAACATAAGTATCGCGTTTTTTTTAAGTAAAATAAGATTTAGCTCCCTTTCTGGTGCTCGATCGATGCATTTATGATGCATCCTTGATACAACTATAATGAGGGGCTACCACAATACAAACTCTAAGCTCTAAACAATCGGTTTGAAAACAGAATTTCAAAATATTTTATGAATCAGATTTTCAGATTCAATTAAGCAGATATGGTTTCTCTCACGTACTCTTTTCATTTCACCCAATATTCGGCAACTCTGTTAGCGATATACCGCCCACCTTCTTTTAGTAAACACTTGTTTATAAGTGAATTACACTGCACACTTAAAACTAAATAAGAATCATAACTTATTTCTATTAGTTGATGTAAACATAGATCTTAAGAATCCTAGTCCTATAAAACAAATATAATACTGCATTGTACAACTATGGTCTAATGTGCTCACAATATACAAGAATTGAAATCGGTAACAGCAAATTACCTAAGACTTGTATCGATCATATCTACGCGAGATCCCACACACACAAGACGTGTATACAGCGCCTCTTGGTACTCGTTGAATATAAAATATATTAGGTACCAATATTCAACATTTTACTTACACTAAGTTCTTTAGAAAAAAAATGGAATTAAAAATAAAACTGGCAAAAAACGAAACATATAGATAAACTAGACACGTGACGCCAAAATCCCGGCACATGGGAAAAAATATGAAACGTCAAACGCGATATAATTTTTGAAAAATAGTATACCTAATTTTATTTTCCATGTACAATATTTTTGAGGGTCTGAATCCAACCCTGGCCTAATCTTGGTAACGTAACTAAGTATAGTAACTAAACTGTAAAATAAAACTTTAAAAATGCGTTTATATAATAATTTAATATTAACAAAATGAATATAAGGTTATTTTACCGATGATATGATATCCCATGTTCCTATTTAATCTTTGTATCGTAATTTATGCACCCCGTTACCACACAACTAGACATATTTATGACAGGCAAATTTGTCTTGCGCGCGCACCACTGTCGAACGAGTCGCGTTGGCCCCAAACTGTAATTTTAGGGCCAGCGTCAGTTTTGGTTGTTCGGTAGGCTCGGTTCTTACGCTAGTAATATATAAGTCAATGGACACAACGTAATGTTATATTTTTGAGGTTTTAATTGAGACTTAAGTAAAACAAGTTCTTCAAACAGTTTATCACTCATTGTTCTTCGATGAGGCCTCATGATCATGCACCCAAATGAAAAGAGTGGTTCCATTGGGGCATAACATGTTAACAGGATTATTTCAATATATATATATATATATATATATATATATATATATATATATATATATATATATATATATATTATTGTAGGATAAGAATGATAATTTAAATATCGCAATGTTTCTAAGTCAGTGGTGCTGCCAGTAATCCTGTGTTTTCGGCACTTGCAATAGAGGAATAAGAATCCTCTTAACATGTAACAAGATTTATCTTAGGACTTTTTTATATCAACTTTAATATTGTCTAAGGCTCTTTACGCACTGTCGACTGGTCGCCGGCGACTCGTTCGACGGCAACAATGACTTTTTATTGTTTTAATGGTGTTTACGCACTTAAGTGCTGGTTGCCCGGGCGACTCGTTGACTCCCCGCACTGTAGCGACGCACAAGAGACTGTACGAATGTACTTGGAATACTGTCGCCCGGCTTGATCTCCTGGCCGTCGTTGGTCGCCGAGATACTGAGTTGCTGACAACCAATCGACAGTGCGTAATGGCTCTAAAGACTCCAATTTTTGTTTTTCAGTTCGATTAATTTTTCGTGTTTCAGTCAGTAATAAGTTCCTTTTACATATTTTTCCGCGCTTTTGGTTCCCGTCCCATTTTAAAGAACGGATGTGACACTGAGGCCAATATTGCACCATCAAAAACTTTTTAAAACGCCTATTTAAGTGTTATTCAATCACATCTAGCAGATAGCCGCAGTATTTTAGATTTTCCGTCCTACATTTACTTTATCACATGTTGAATTCTTACTAGTAGCTCGGGTAATAACAGATACAGACTATTATGCGGAATAATTAAAAATTACACGAGTCACGGTGTGTAGCCGATGACATTTTGTAGAAAGAAAGAATTGCCATGCATCTTGGCGCGTTCAGTTCTATCTACAACATTGACATTTAAAATTAACGTCATATAAGATGTCACAATAGAATCAGTTATCTATTACTAAAAGTATTTTAATTAAAGAAAAGGTATTTAAATACAAGATATGAAATGAATTTAAAAAAAAAGTTTTTTTTGTAGGAAAAGGGTGACAATAGAGCACAGTCCACCTGATCGTAAGCGGTTGCTGTGGCCTATATACATCTACATCTATCCTCGTTTGTGAATCAAAATGAAGATGCGTCAGCCGTGAGGACTAAGATGGAATGCCTCTTTTCCAGTAAAAAGGGTCACCCGGTTCTCTACACTCACCATACGAAACACAGCAGCATTAAGCTGCTATTTGACGCTGGTATTCTGTGAGAGCGTGGTCCTTCCCTGGTCGAGCCGACCCATTCGTGCTACAACTATAATATTAATATAGCAGTAGCATGGCTCTACCACGTAAAAATATTATAGTTACAAGATGAAAATACGTATTTTGTATCTGTATTTCAGATACTTGTACCTTAGATAAGTTACATCTCTGCTACAATCCACCTGATGGTAAATGGCAAGTGCCATCCATGGACACCTGCAGCCAACTATAAACAAAGGTTATAGGTGCGTTGTTACCTCTGAAAACTTAAGATACACGTTACATCCTGTAATTGTACCAGCCCTATACCCAGATCGGCACAGTGCAAGCACTGCTTTGCAGCACAAATGATAAGCAGGTGATGCGTTTTATAGAACAAGGGTGACAAGCGAGCAGCACACAGTCCACCTGATGGTAAGTGAATACTGTCGCCCAGACATCTACATTTATTCTCGATTAATAAACAAAGCACAGATGTGTTGTCACCTGCAAGGAGTAAGATGGAATGTTAGTTTCCAGTAAAAAGGGTCTGGTTCTTTACACTCACCATACACAGCAGCATAAATTGTGATTTTACGCTGGTATTATGTGAGAGCGTGGTCTTTCCCTGTTTAAGCCGACCCATTCACGCTACAGCTATAATATAGCTACAGCATGACTCTACCACAAATATGGTATAATGGTGCCTAAACCTAGACAAATGAAAGGGAATTCCATTACTCAAAGCTTCTTGCAGTAACCATACAGCTGTAGCTTTAAACTGTATTGTACATTATGACTTCGAGAACATTCAAAATATAAAACCTAAAATAAAAAACAAACATACGTACAAAATATTTTATTTAGAAGCAAATTAAATGCAAGCTTATGGACAACATGGCCACTGAAGCCATGTGGCAGAGAGTAGAAAATAATCACACAAACTAAAGCACAAGACGGCCAATAAACCCATTTGACAAATAAAGTAACAAACAATGATACAAGAATACTGTCCAGACAAATTTCAATCTTCCAACTTGGGTACAACCCACCCCACAGGTAATGCCGTCCCCTCATTGCAAATAAATTGATCCCATTGACACCTGAAAATAGAATATTTCAGGTCTAATTTGTTTCAGTAATAAATTAATTTTATTAATGTTTGTCTTCTGTGTGTATGTGACATTAACTGACATACCCGCAAGCTGTGATGCGCTCAATAAGCAAACGTGTGATACGCTCAATAACCTAGATAAAAAATATTTTTTATCTAGGTTTATGTTTAGAGGTGCCTCAGTTAAAACAAAGAAAAATAAATCTCCATACATTTTCACCCCATCCTAATGTCCTTAAGGGTTAGTAGAACTTGCTTTTATAGAATAAGGGTGACAAACGAGTAAGCCCACATGAAGGTAAGTGGATGCTATGATCTATGGACATCTAAATATATCCTCAATTAAGCGAAATGTAAATGCATTCTTATCCATAAGGACTATGGTCTCTGGTTCTCTACGCTCACCATATGAAACACAATAGCTCTATTTTATGTTGGTTTTCTGTGAAAGCAAGGTCCTAACCCCAGTTGAACCTTCCAAATCATGCTGCGATCGTAACAAAGAGTCAGTGTGGCTTGACCACTATAAAAATACTGCATATATTCTTAAATAGTGTAAAAATTAATAGAGTTATGTTTAAAATAAATATGTCAAAAATCAATTGTCCTCAGTACATAGCTTACTATTGTCTTGTTATGATTAGCATATTTTAATTTAATACAACTGTTATATAATGGATATTAAAATTAATTAACATATGTTTAATCAGTGTCAGCGAATGTAATACAGTGGTTACTCATCTTTTATTACTTAAAAAATTACACTTACGAAAATATCAAAACACTGAAAATGTTGATCAACTAGCAATTACATAGTCAAAACGAAACTAAACACATGATAATGGTTAGATAGTAGTTATGTCTGCTCAAGCAAACATTGAGTCGCCGCCCAGCGCGCCTCTATTTATATCGGATAGCAGTTGATGATGTCAGTTGTACATGTCGATATATCTACTTCCATAATCAACTATGTCCTATGTCACTTCCACGATTAAGAAAAATCTAGTGAAATTCTCTACTTTAAAACCATCAAGCCATTTAGGCTACCACCAAGAATGCCAAAGAAATTCAGGGTCAGTTAGTTAAAAGTCTTACCTTCTAGCAACAAATTTCTCGACATCTCCATTGAAGTCTACTTGTGGCAAACTTTTACCAAACAACAACTCTTGCCATTTTTTCAAGTTCTGTATAACCTCTTTTTCTGTTTCATTCTCAAGCAAATCCTTCTCTTCTACGCTCTGCTTTAATGTGGCACGGAGGTCACTCTCTTCTTTTTCATAGATTGCCAATTTTTGCGACCAGAGCAATTTAAGTTTCTCTATAAATGTAGAAAGAAAAAATTATGTACAATGTTCTTACAAATACTAGACATATACTGTAAAATGTATTTTTAAGGTTTTCTCTCATACTTTTGATAGGCTATAACAGTAACCATTACAGCCTATCAAAAGCCCACTTTTTTAAAGCATTGTGTGACAAATGAGCACACAGTCCATCTGACAATCAAGTGGATGCTGTGACCCACAGACATCCAAATTTATCCTCAATTAAGAATCAAAATGCAGATGCGTTGTCACCCCTGAGGACTAAGATGGAATGCCTCGATTCCAGTAAAAAAGGGTCTCCTGTTCTCTACTCGCCATACGAAAAACAGCAGCATTACACTGCTATTTTACGCTGGTATACTGTGAGAGGGTGGTCCTGACCCCAATCGTGCTGACCCATTTGTGCTACAACTATAATATAGGTGCAGCGTCGCTCTACCACGTAAACTGCTCCATTGCTGATTGTCCTCCATAGATTGCATAGATTGGGGGAATATTTGCCGTAGTTGCTATACTTGGTCAGGCGGTTCATTTTAAGTTATTATCATGGAGATGCTGTCCCCTCTTATTATACCTATGGGATGATATGGGGACAGTGGATGCTCTTACGCCATCATTAATGGTGATTTACTGTTAGATGAAGTCTCCTAAGAAACAAAATAATACAAGACAAGGAAGACTTGTTATAATCACTATACTTTCAGAAACTAAATACTGCTCCTTGTCACCAGGTGGTGGGCGTCTATTAATTACGTAAGCTCAAAACGGGGGAGGGGGGGGGAGATATTCATTATTATAACAATATTTCCTACCTCAAAATCAATCCCAGACCCAGAATTTTCCTGATCTAAAGAGTGATATCAGCATCAGTAAATAAATTTAATTGGTAATTAAAAATTATATGATAAATCTCATGTGAGGCTCCATTCACATCACAACAAAGGGTTGTTGAGATTTGGTATGACCCCTCTCCCTGAGTCCAAATTATATATAAAACACCTCACAAATTTAATGGATTCCTTATGATATTTTAGGATTGATGGTTTTACTTCTTTGGATGCTATGACCAGCCGTAATTTTTATAATGCCACCAAACACTTACCTATATTGCTATTGAATGCTGTTGTTTCATTTTCAGATACTGTAACTCCTCTGCCCTTAGCTGTATTCAGACGCGCCTTACGCAAACGAACTAGACCATCAAGTTTCGTGATACACTTTTTAGCATCATTCTTCTTTCTCATCACTTCTTTTAGCACTACATCGGCATGAAGTTTGGCTTCAGTTTCCTATAAATTAGATTATTATATTGTACATACAAAATATGGTCTAAGTACCTCATTTATTAAATTTATATAAAGTTAAATTAAAAAAGTCAACAGTGCAGTCTACATAGCCCACAACTGAGTACTCATCCCCTCTCATTTCTGAGAGTTTCAGGATAAAGTGTCCATCCTGCTGCTCCAATATGTGAAGTATTCACGTCTTTAGAAGGGATTGAAAAGAGGTTGCTTGCATACTGTGAAATTTACTTGTTGGGAATTGTGGTGTTGGGAATTGTGGTTGGGGAAAGGCAGATCTTTAAAAGTATAAATTACATACCTGCTTAGCTTTCTCAATGTCATCCTTAATTTTTTTTAAATTTTCATCAATCTTTCTTGATCTTTCCTGCATTTGCTGAATTCTTTCTTGATTCTCCCTCTTTCTTTCCCCTTTGACTCTTTTTAAACGCAGCCTCTTGGATGATCTCTTTGTTAATAGTTTTCTAGCTGTATCTAAATATTCATCACTTACACTCTCTAATATTCTCTTAATAGACTCTTTCTTAATTTCAATTTTATTCATATGGGCTTTCCATTCTTCGTCTGAGAGACTATTGACTCCTTCTTGTAATATATATTCGGTCTTTTTTAAATCATCTAGTGTGAGCACAAGACTGACAATTTTTTCACGTATTATAGATATGGATATGGATTTCTGTTTCTTTGCCTTACAACTCTTAATAATAGATGTTGCAAAGCTTTTAATAAAATCTTGGTCTGTTTGCTGTGGGATTATAGATGGTATAAACATAGATGGAGGGGGAGGTGGTGGTGGGAAAGAAAAGTTAGGTGGAGGGATGGGATGATAATTACCGTGGAATGTAAAATTGCCTTGAAAATTATTATACAAATTAGAATTATAAGACATGATTATTACTAATAAATAAAAATAATAAAAGAGATTATGGGGTATAGTGATAGTAATTACTGGGCTGTCTCTGGCAGCTGACACTCTGCCTCTTTTAAGACTTGCTCAGCCGCTATGTAATCTTCGTGTTCCTTAAGATCTTGTTCTGTTTCTAGCAATGACTTTAAATCTGCGAAAGCCTTTGCCAACCTGCAAAAGATTCGAATACCAGAATATGAACATTAATTATTAATAATTTCACTAATCAATTTCACAAAACAGTACTTAAAATAACTCATAGAATGTATAATGGTTGAGACAATGATGACTTGAGGAAAAAATGACTGATTAGTGTGCCTAGTGCAATAGCCTCTGAAGTGACCCAAAGTGGTCCGCCAAAGCATTTTACAATTATCTCACATATAAATATGTGGACATCTTTAGATACGTTTGTAGTATGCACTGCCACATTAAAATATGTGTTGTTACATTAAAATAAAGGGTGTACAATAACACCACACACTCATACATTTGAATTTAAGGAATAAACTTATAAATGAGAAAAAGTGATTTATAAGTTTATTCTATATATTATACATATGTGGTAGAGCCGTGCTACAATTATATTAGTAGTATAGTTGTAGCACAAATGGGTCAGCTCGACCGGGGAAGGACAACACTCTCACAGAATACCAGCGTGAAATAGTAGCTTAATGCTGCTGTTTCGTATGGTGATTGTAGAGAACCGGAGACCCTGTTTACTGGAAATGAGGCATTCCATCTTAGTCCTCACGGGTGACAACGCATCTGCATTTTGATTTGTAATCGAGGATAGATGTAGATGTTATATGTCTAAAATTTTGTGGTCAACAAGCAACAACTCAACAACCGGTGCTTAGGTCTACTCTCTCTTTCTCACTTGCAAAACTCTCATAAATAAATTGCATGTTGCAACATGCAGCTACACACTTCACAAAACACTACTTGTGATTTTATAAAGAACAAAAGCTATCCAACAAGTCACACTAGTGATCCAAGAGATATAGGAAAAATACCATTGCAAATACAGTTCATGATTGTGTGTATTGTGTTAAGACACCTCAGTAAGCAAAAATTGCTTGCCCATTTTTAACTTCCCCTTTGAAAATTAATATTTTTCAAAAGTAAGAACTTATAGATTTTGGTCCGATTTTGAGAATGCGAGTTTTCATCAGATCTTCATGTTTTGAGGTCCTAGAAAGCTGTTGAAACTATTTCCAGCTGGACGTCCTGTCGTGTGTGTGTGTGTGTGTGTGTGTGTGTGTGTGTGTGTGTGTGTGTGTGTGTGTGTGTGTGTGTGTGTGTGTGTGTGTGTGTGTGTGTGTGTGTGTGTGTGTGCGTGCGTGCGTGCGTGCGTGCGTGCGTCGTGCGTGCGCGTGTGCGTGCGCGTGTGTTCGCGTGTGTGTGCGCGTGTGTGTGTGCGCGCGCGCGCGTTTGTCTGTGTGTGTGTGTGTGTGTATGTAAATAAAATTTTATTGTATGATATCTTTAGAACAAATCCACCGATTGAGATGAGCGATACGACATTCGAAAGTATTAATTGAGAATTCAACTTAATTAGATTTTGAAGTCTTGGTTGAGCCATTTTAAAGATATTAACAAAATAAAATCAATAAAAATTACTATCAAAATTTTTCAAAATAACTCAAAATATTTGATTAACTACTTTTTTGCTGAAATACTGTGTCGAATGCCACTAAATAAGTAATAATTGAACAACACATTCAAAAATTATAGCACTTTAAAATATTTTTAAATAATCATTTTTCTGAGATAACTTTTAAATTTTTCGATCAATCAACTCAAAACCTGACAAGCAATATTTTGCACTTAAAAATCTGCATTGAATAACGCCAAGTAAATAAAAATCCAATGAGGCGTGCAAAAGTTATAGCTATTTAAAAATTCTAAATAATTGTGTTCGATATAACTTTAAAATTATTGAACTTAAAAATCAACCAATTAGAAGATTTTCGAGCATTTCTAGCTTGAAAAAATTGGCAAGTTCCATGGTTGGCCTACCTGTCTACTGCTTTTCAGATTTTTGTATTAAACCCCATACAGTAGGTTTCATATTGACTAAATATGACAGAACTCATACTGTCAGTCACTGAGGTCATTATGCTGTAATGCTATAAGGTGGGCTTTAAATTTATGCTCCATAATTTAGCAAAGTATGGAAAATTGCAATAGGCAGATAATAAACAGAGTCAGAGCAGCAGCCATTTTAAAACACAGGCTGTAAATCAGCCAGAGTCCAGGATTTGGGCACTTTCCCAGTCCTAAATGAGGGGCAGGACAAGCACAGCATAGATGAATCAGGTGCCTTGGTCAGCCTTTAGAATAACCGGTGTACCATCTAGTTCATTAATAATCCAGACATATCAAGCAAACAACTAATACTACAATACTAAAATTCTTCTTGTTATAGGCTGAGATTGGGTTGCAGGTGTAATCAGGATAGACTACTTAGATTTGGAGTTTCATCCGAGCATAGCAGATAATAGATTTTCTCACAAATAAGGTAACTTTAAAAAAAAAAGAAAAAATATCAGTCCGAAGACTGGACGCGAACCGAGGCATTAAGATTTCGCCGCTGCTTCGATATCCGTTTGAGCTATTACAATCATTAATTTAATGTCAAAATTTACCTTCTTATATTGTAGCAGTTTTTCATTGCCTGAAAACACGGACAAAAATCATTTTCTAAAAATAAATCCCAGCTAGATCGATTTATTGTCCCCGAAACTCCCTGGACACTAAATTTTATGAAAATCTTTGGAGCCGTTTCCGAGATTCCGATTATATATACAAGAATTGCTTGTTTAAAGGTATAGGATAGTGCAATATTATTTCTCCAAAACTATTTTAATATCAAATTGTTTTTTAATTTGATATTTAATATGTTTATATTAAACATCTACAATCTACAAGAACAATACTTCATTTTATAATCCTTTAACATAAATGTGTCATTCTTATGATGTTTAAATTTCAGGTAGGGACATTGGCATCTTTGATAATAAGCTACACTAGCACTCAATTCTGTTTCTAACTGTTTCAATTACACATAATTTTTTTAATGTCTTTAATTATATCTAAAAAAACTCAAAAAATTGCCAAGCACTTGTTTAACAAATTTTCTCATTGACATGTTCATTTTTAGTGCACGTTGCAACTGTATGTATGTATGTATGCATCTTTGGTTTGTATTTTAGGTCATAACTTTATTACATTACAAAAATTATTTATCCAATAATACCTAGTCCAGATTCGTAATTGACTCAGGACCTATTTAAAAAGACTTTATTTTAAACTTACTACTATTAATATGTGATACATTACTTATATACTACTTAATTAATCCGCGATGGATTCTAACCTAAGACTACATGTGGGATCCTAACTAAGACTATCCCAAATCTTATTCCAGATCTTTAAGCTAAGATCGGTTATCAGTATTTACATGAAACACCATCCATCTTCCAGACGCAAGCAATCCACACCCACGCTTACACTTGAATTGTGATGGTCTCCGGTGCAGTTCCGGGAATACCAGTATACATAACTACCTGTTGTGCTCATGTTGTGTAAATAAAAACAAATACACAACAAGTAAAACAGGGCAATTTATTTGATGTATATTTTGAACCACATTGCAACAAGCTTAAAAAAAGGAAAAGCTGCATTGACATACCCCCAAGTACAAATAATACATTAACAGCATGTAATTTATTGTCGTGCTTAAAATGCTACTGTTGAAAAATGAATATGATAAAAAACTGGTAGGTAGGTGGTGGTATACAGACATCATTCACACAAAGAAAATATTCCTAAGATGTGACTCATAGACACAAAGAATCCCCAAATGTTTTATCAATATTAGAGACAAACAATAAAATCCATGTTTGTAGTATAAATTTAATCTTTATTTTAATAATTTTCCTTAAAGCTCTTATGAAAATGAAAAAACAATAAAAAAACATACCGACATAACCAACGAACATATGCAAATTTATTGACGAATATTACAATAAAATACAGTTAAAATCTATTCAAAAGTGTACTTTAAGCCGTGTCGGTACTAAAATAATGATTTTAAGGAGTTACTCACCGTCTTTGACAATCAGGGACCATCATCAGCGACTCTTGCAAGACTTCCTCCTGTTTTCTAGTTTCATGCTCTTCTCGATTTTCGTCTTTGTATTTTTGTACCTTAATTTTTTGCTCTTCAGCTTCTTTCGCGTAAACAAGTGTTTCTTTGGCTATGCGCTTTACAGCGCCAGTTTTAATTTTAATTTGCCGAATTCTTGGATCTTCCATTATTAGAATGACAGAATATTATTTGGAATTAGAACTCGACTCGTCTTGTCTCCTTGTCTTGTTTGGTTATAAACCACAGAACTAGGAGTGGTCGTTACAAAACGTAACTAGTTACTGAAACTATCTATTCACACAATAACGGGTAGCGGGTTATTGCAGTGCAACGAAACTATCTATTACAGTAGACGTTTTACTCAATAACACGTTTCACGAATCACGAACGAGCGATCAGTAACAAAACGTTTATTCGGCTATTTTCGCGACGCATCGGTGACGGCTTCGGCTGTTGAAGTAGAAGCACATGAGTAAAGAAACCGACTCTTTACGCTGTGGTAGAAGTACCACCGGTCGTTGAAAGTCTAGTGAGCGCGGGTGCTTTTGCATTTGACCTATGACTCCATTCCCTTCGTATAGATGCGATATTAGAAATGAGAAAGTAAGTGTACATGTTTTTAGCAAAAAATAGTTCAAATACCATAGTTTAAGTGGCCTTGGCCCGGTTTAAATTAGTCTTGTGTTTAAGTTTAATGACACGGTTTGTTTTTACTTTTTAGGCGCGTTTGTTAATATTTTTGTTTTCTTTTGGTGCAATAATAATAACATTTTTAGTACGAACGAAAATAGAACGAAAAGAAAAAAAATTGTATATATTAGTGTTGATAATAATAATTGTACAGTAATTAGTGTAAGTAACTAAGTATAAAAATAATACTAAAACTTTATGTGATAGTTATCAGAAATGTCTCGAAGTAATGCCAGTGTACTTTTAAGTGATATTTTTATCAAACCGTGCGAACTGATTTAACAAATAAATAAATTTAACCATTAACACCATGTCTAATTCTATACGAAACGGTAACAACGGTCGCAACATTTTTCAATTGAACACGTCGTGAAACACTCTATTGAAGCCGCTATTAAAATAGAGTGTTTCAAAACCCTCTATTAAAATAGAGTGTTTCAAAAGCCGCTATTGATATTCGATAGATAGTTTCGTTTCGTTACTCAAAAAAGCCGCTACTGCCCACCGCTACACAGAACACTATTTATAAACAGTGTTGGGACTTGGGAAATAGTTGGTGCGAAATTATGGTGTTGCTAAGCTAGAAAATATTGTATTTTGGGTAGAATTATTGTATTTTTTTGCTAAAGATTTTTTTATTTATTTAAGCTGTCTAAATCCGAATTTAATAGGTTTTTGCTATTTATTTATATTTGCATAACTTAAAAACATGTTATTAATTGTTTTTTTTTATTAAAATAATAAAACTTAGGGCATGGAATTAAACAATATGAACTAAACAGGAATGGAAAATTCGAAGTCGTCTTCTTCTTCGAGTTCAAAATCTCGACGTATAGATGTAGAAGGATTTGACTGCAGAGAAGTTGTTACATACAGGGCATTGGAGACAATTTGATTTGCCATTAATTATATATTATTATTAAATATATTATAAACCCTAAAATGTATGAACGAACACATCACGTACTTATACCAAATAATGTAGTTATCGCTTCTAAAAGCGCAAAACGTCCTGAAAAGGGATGTATATCATTTGAACCCACGAAACATCGTTTCGTTCGTTTTGCATTTTTAGAAGCGATAACTACATTATTTGGGATAAGTACGTGAAGCGTTCGTTCATAAATTTTAGCGTTGCGTGTGTCTAGTATTAAACATATATTGTGTAAAAATAGGAAAGTATTGTATAAAAGCGTACAATAATGAGAAAGCTATGTTTTATGGTAAAATTTAGTTTCGTGTAACAAATTATTGTAAGAATCCAATAATTATTGTACATTTCCCAACACTGGTTATAAATGGTTATAAAATTGAAAATAGACCATAGATAAGAGTGTATATACGGAAATCGTACTACGCTACGACGGAAATAGACAATGTTGGGCAAAGTATCAAAGAGCTTATTTTAAAGTTATTTTATGAAAAGAAAGAGCAAAGTTCCGTAGACAGAATTTCTCTGTCTACGCAAAGTTCTCTGTCTACGGAGCAATTAAGATTTTTAGCTTGGATGCTTATTTTTTAAGCCACTTCTTCGGGATCTTCGTATTGCAAAGTTTGTGGGAGATTTTGACGACGGCTCAATTAAAAAACAAAATTGCACAAAGTTTGCGTATCAAAATCCACTTTAAGTTTAAACCATTATATAAATGATAAAACAGGAACAACAATCCGTCGACGATCAAAGAGTAGAATAATCTTTATATATACAGGCACCTCGGATACTTCATACAACGGTCGTAAATTAATTACCTTTTACTACTACACAGATAAATGACGTTTGTATACGCACAAATGTGTGCGTGAAATTTTAGTAGGGAAGTGCGGTGGCCAACATTGAAGCGGTGGGGCGGGCGTACCGGGCGGGGCAGGTTATAATAATAATAGTATGGAAATTCGTGTGTTGTCGAGATCCAATAATCACCCCTGCGAAGCCGGGGTGGATCGCTAGTATAGAATATAATCACTATTTCTGCTTCCATACCCATTATAAATTCTTCGATCCTTTGATATGATTAACACAACGCTGAGTGCGCAAAGCACTCCTCCTCCTGGACGTCAACAAGTTGAGTGGGCCTGATAGAGTCCTATTGTGCTGAAGACGTGTGCTCTGGAGCTACCATGAAAGATAGCTTTAGTGCACCGCTCAGACCCCTCAAACTACAGGTCTATCGCCATTACCTCCTTGTTCACCCAAATAATATAATCCATTTTAAACTGCCAGCTCATGAGGTACTTTGAGGACCACCAGCTGTTTAGTGGTCGTCAATGAGGTTTCCATTGGAGTTGCTCAGTTAGTGAGGTGAGCGAGGGCCTTTGTGTTTTGTAGTATCGTGTGTCAGTCCAAGATCGAGAGAATCTATGGGCTGCAGCAACCACTTACCATCAGGTGGACTATGTGCTCGTGCCCGAGAAATTGTGTAATTTTGTTGAAAATCAAAGAATCAAGGTTGTAGTAAAGAGTGCAAGGTTCGTCTACAAGCTTATCAATGCACAGGGCAGCGAGATTTCACTTAACCTGTTTCTGCTGCATATTACAACGCTCCCGCCTTTTACTTTGTAGAGGAGGCCGTCTGTTAATAATATCAAAGATAATAAATGAAGAACGCTCACACGCCGCTGCTGCGAGTCTCCCTCACGACGTCGCGAGCTAGTACGAGTCACGGCGGCTGTAAACGCTCGTCTCGTCGTCTCGCGTGTCTCTAGTCACGTAGAGGCTTATTAAGAGAACACACTATGTACTAAAGATGTTTTATAGGTCCAGATACCGGTACGCGCGCCTAAAACACTTCGATTTAAAAGGCGCCAATATTGGCGTATTCGTTCGATCGTTCCGCCATTACGCCAGCGACGTTCACTGCGAACATACGTCACGCACTGATGTTATTAAATTCGCAAAATGACTTGTGTTCATATTCGAGTGTTGCCTAATCTACGAAAGGTTTTTACCATTTTTTAATGTCATGATCGACTGAAAAGGTTATCTGTATAGGGGTTTTAAATGGTTTAATTTTACAGGTTTTAACCAACCTATAGAGTTAAACTATTTTAAGGCTTAGGGTTAAATTACATCTGGCACGGAATCGCACTTTCCTGTGCTTCTATCCTTTTTGGTCACTCAGAACGGTCATTTACTAGAGCAAGAAAGAGAGGTGCATAAATAGCTACTGTGTTTTTTTATTTATTTTAACTGTTACATTAAATATAGGTTTTATTACTTATCTTCAATATTTTAGTGCGATGTTCGTACCTACATAAAACACACATAACCAACCATATCCCCATACATACGCTCACAACTCGCACACACATTTTATATTCCTAGAATAAATAGGTACGTCAATTTCAATGAAATATAAAATCACCCACCGGGTTTTGGGTAATCGATTTGCACTACTATTACTGAAGTCACGCACATTAATGCAGGTATGGTACGTAAGATATGCGTGTCACGTGGTACTCACGCACACATGAATCAAAGACTGGCGTCACTATGAACGGTGCGATATGTTAGCAACACGGTATCTGGACCTATAAAATCTATGTTGTACATAGATTGTCTAGGTTGTATCATTTGAACTTCGTATGTCCGCTCAGATGAACCTAGATGAAATTGTTGCTGCATTTTGCCTTTGTGCTATTAGTTATTATAATTTTTTACACATTTACCGCAAAAAGAAAAATAAGATATGGTGAAGAAGAAGATGGTGGATTTCTATTTACCGTAACAAAACTATATACGGTGAATGGGAATAGAGTTTGCTCTCGTTTTCATCGCGAGACTCACGAGACCCTTTGACTCGAGCGTAAAAAAGCGACCGGCTTCCGGTAGCGAATGACAACTGCGAAACGCACCGCGACGCGACGCGAGTACCATGTGCACACTTGTACTCGGCCTTTCTAGTGGTCTCTTGACGAGCGTCTACAGCCGCCATTACACCTGCCGTTGAGACAAAGCTAATCCGCGATGTCACGCGTTGGTACGAACAGATATGTGTAGCGGAGCTCAAGCTCAACGTAGTAGCCGTAGTAGCCGTAGTAGTAGCGTATAGTAGGTATACACCTCCGGCTCTCCGCTACTGCGTTGAGCTCGAGTATAGTCAGTCGCACAGAGTACTTTTTTATATAGGGAAGTTAGTCGGCACCCACCTCGTATACTGGTAGCCCGTCCTCTCAGTTATGTGGGCATCTAATAGTTCAAGCTAGGCAAATTACGTAAAGACTTAATGTTGATAATATTGTGTTTTTTAGTATCGTGTGTCAGTCTTACTTATATAAAGTTACCCTCATTGGCACACCGGTGGCCGCTACATAAATAATATAAATTATCGTGACCAAGCTAATGAATTTGTTGGTCTAGGGTCTTTCTAAAGAGGGCTTGACCCCTTGTTAGTACGTAAGCACAAAAATCGACTTGCGTATGTCAATACGTGTAAACACCACCGTGCCGTGCCACGTTGTCGTTATGAAAGTTTAATGT